ATAGGAAGGCTGAGAGAGAAGCGGAGGGATTCCTTTGGACCCTCTTGTGTGTGTGTGCATAAGGGGCTATGGTAGTGTTTGGGAGTGATAACTTTTGAGCTGGCAAGCAGAGTCTAAACTGTCCATTCACGAACTAAGGCAGCCGTGGAATTCACTGGACACTACACTGAACGTGAACCAAACAGCTGTGGGCGGGGATGGGAGGGAAAACTGGGAGAGAGCAAAGAAGGGGTGAGATTGTCCAAAAAGAAGTGTATTCATTACCTCACTTATGTAGCTGAAACCCCTGTGGACATTGCCTTTATAATAACAATAAAAATTACTAAAGATGAAAAAATAATGACAGTGTCCAGTCACTGTGTAGAAGAAGGAGAGAGGAAGAGCCCCAGTAGCTCCCACTAGAGCCTGTACTACAGGGCTGCTCCAAGGAGCCAGAATACAAAGAAATGAAGTCTTTTGATGAGTTAACTCAATATATTTTGCTTAAGATATGTGATGTATGATCTGTATCTATCTATAGCATATGATATAGATTAGATATAGAGTTTTGTGATCCTTTGTCAGAAAAAAAGAAAAAGATGGGGCAGGGAAGGGAAGGACAGAAATGGTGGGACAAAGGGTGAACTAATTCAGCAGTGATAGTTGGAAATGAACTATACAACTTGGGGCAGGGAAGGGAGGGATGGACGGAAAAAACTGGGAGAAAATGAGTGAGGAGGTTATGCTGTCCCAAAAGAAATGTACTCAAGGGCTGGGAAGGTAGCTCAGTGGTAGAGCGCTTGCCTTGCATGCCTGAGGCCCTGGGTTCGATTCCCCAGCACCACATACGCAAAAAGAAAAAAGCCGGAAGTGGCGCTGTGGTTCAAGTGGTAGAGCGCTAGCCTTGAGCTGAAGAGCTGAGGGACAGCGCCCAGGCCCAGAGTTCAGGCTCCACAACCGGACCCAAAAAAAAAAAAAAGAAATGTACTCAATACCTGACTTACGGAACTGCAACCCCTCTGTACATCACCTTTACAATAAAAATAAAAATAAAGAAAAAAGAAAAAGAATGACTTTTCTCTTAGTGAGTTGAGTAAAATCTACAGCAGCAAAAATCTTTAGCCTCTTGACACATGAAATGATAAATACAATGAGTAACATAAAGTTCAAAATAAAATAAATTGAAAAGTAAGTTCCAATTTGTCTAATGTGATTATCATCTTTTCTTTTCTTTCTTTCTTTTTTTGCCAGTCCTGAGCTAGACTCGGGCCTGGACACTGTCCCTGAGCTTCTTTTGCTCAATATTATCACTCTGCCACTTAGAGCCATAGGTGCCACTAGTTTACTGGAGATAAGAGTTTCACAGACTTTCCTGCCCAGCCTGGCTTTGAACTGTGATCCTCAGCTCTCAACCCTCCTGTGTAGCTCGGATTACTGGTGCCCAGCTATCATTTTTTTCTTCTTTGCATTCTTCTGGAGAGTTGTGTATGCCGATGTAGCCATATCGTATGAATTGGTTTGTAGTGTGTCTTTTATTTGCGGGTACGTCTTGGGCATCATTTGTTTCAATGCATACAGGGCCAGCTCATTCTCTACTCATGTAGATATCACCCCTTTATTTATACAGCTTATCCTCTTCCCATGTGTGGTCTTTGAGAGGCTACCAAGCTGAGCCCTCAGACTTATCACCCTTCCTTCTCTTCCTCACTGTGGGAATCTCCTATACCCTCCGGCCCATCCTCCTCCATGTTTACTGAGGAATTGAGCAGCTGCCCACTCTAGCCAGCTCTCCATCTTTGTAGCAGGAGGATCCTCAGTTTGTCTCATGGTCTCCCCACCCCACCCTAAGATCAGTCATCCAGCTTTGGTATGCCATCCACTTCTGCTTGTATAGTGCACTCAGGGGTTCTGAACCACGGGCATCAGCCACGCTTTCTGAGACCCCTTTCCTCTGTGGCAACCAGCTCTCCTTTGTTCCTGGTCTTTGAAATACTTCCACCCTGAGATCTTCTGCCTTGCTCCCCTTTCAGTGTTCACTGACACACTATCCTGTCTTCACTCTTCTTTCTGGAATGTTGTCTGTGTTGTGTTCCTACTTCTCTCATTCCCTGGGTAACATTCCGGTTTTGGATAAAGGCAGGTTTATTTTATTTTCTTGTGTTATTATTTATTGTACCTGTGCCTGAGTAGGGGGAATGTGGCTGGAAGAAGCCTCCAGCCCTGCAGCTGGACACAGCAGGGGTGAGGTTGCCGCCCATGCCCTTTGCTGCCTCTCTGTCTCCCTCCCTCCCTCCCTCTCTCCCTCTCCCTCCCTCTCTCTCTCCCCCCCTCCTTCCCTCCATCCCTTGATGTCCTCCCCTCCCCCTTCCCTTCCTTGCTCTATTCTTTCCTACACCAGTGGCTTTCAGAATTTCCTTCAGAATCTACCTGGGTCTGGCTTTTCTTTCTTTCTACCATGGTTCCCTTAGGCCCAGCCTCCATCATGCTTGGTTGAACAAGCTTTCAATGAGGGGCCCCATGTTCCCCTTCCTCATCTCATCCAGGTCTTACTTAAAACCTAACTGCTTCAGAGGCCTGGAGGACCACTCTGAGAAAAGAGCTTGCCTTCCTTTACCTGTCTATGATGCCTGTCACAGCTCAGCAATGACTCACACATGCATGCCCTCCACACGGCCTCCGAGGGAATTGTGACCACACTTAGGTCTACCCACTTTCTGGCTCTGAGGCAGTGAAAATGCAAGCCAGTTGTGTGACAGTGGGCTGTTGGACTGGGGATGAGGGGCAGAGGGGCTTGCTAACCTGCCTACAGTTGGAGAGGGGGGCCCAGGGCTCCCAGCACAGCCCCGGGCAGATTGCTCTGCAGGCCAGTGGACTGGAAGGCTGTGTGTGTGTGTGTGTGTGTGTGTGTGTGTGTGTGTGTGTGTGTGTATGTGTGTGTCTATATTATGTATGATGCCACTCCAGATAAGCACTCTCCAGATGCCACTCTCACCAGATAAGCAGAGAACATCCCTTCTCTTCCTGCCAGATGCTACAGTTCTGTGCACTGGCTTTTCTTACTTTAAGAAAAAGGGCAGAAGCGTGGAGCAATTTGTCTGAGTCAAAAATCTATGGCCAACTAAAGGCAGAGAATAGATTTACAGCCCAATGCAGCTGCTTTCTAGAGCCGTTCAGGACAGAGGAGCAGCTGTAGGTCGGGAGAGAACCTTGGTCCAGGCCTGGGCCCTCAGGGCTGTGCTGGGGTGGCAGGAGTGGCGTCCAAGGCGCTGAGCAGTGCGCTCCTGAGCCATGCAGCGCCACAGGCTGCAAGGCCAGGAAACCATTGTTTCAGCCAGAAAGCAGGGAGGGAGGAATCCAGTCAGAGACTGACGTGTCCTTGGTCCCTGGTGGCTCTGAGCAGGCTGGATGGGCCACAAGATCGGGCAGGAGAATAAAGCTGTTGACGCAGACTTGGTTCTTTCTCCCCAACCAGAAACAAAAATAAGCCGAGTTCAGACACCACTATCGCAGTCCCTGCCAGCTAAGCTGTCCTTTGAGGAAAGCAAAATTTGGGAACTTCTGATACAATCTTGCCTTACTCTATTATTGTTTTCTAATCCCTTCCTCCTTCCTTCCCTCTCCCTCTTTCTTCTTCTCCCTCTATCTTCATCCCTCTCCATCCCTTCTTTCCTTCTTCCTTCTATCTTCTCTTCCTATTCCTTCCCTTCCCTTCCTCCCCCTCATCCCCTTCCTCCACACCTAACCTTTACAGCTGTCTTTGTGTCACTGTTATGGTATTTTGATTCATATAACCTTGTGGTAAGATTTGATGTTAGGGCTGTCGCTCTTCCAACTTTCTTTTCAAGACTTTTGAGGATTCAAGGCCTCTTGGATTTTTGAAAAAATTTGATCAGCTAGAGAGGTTTTGTTAAAAAATAAATAAAAGGCAGCTGGAATTGTTTTATTAGAGATTATATTGTATCTACTTGGCAATTATTAATCAGTTTTGTATGTCTAATTTATCTTAACCATAGTTTCCAGTCTGTGTGTATGTGTGTGTGTATGTGTGTATATACATATTTTTTTCTATTAGGCAGGACTTGTTTATTTCAATGATATTTTTGTTTTTAATGTGCAAGTCTTACATTTCTGTCATTAAGTTGCTGAGTGTTTTATTGGTTTTAATACTGTTGTAAAGTGTGGAATATATAAAGGCACACAGTTGTATTCACTCTATCAACCTTTTTATTTTGATTGGGAAGTTGAGAACATTGAATGTAATGACTAATAGTGAAATTTTATGTCTTCTTTTTCACTGCTTCTTCCCTGTGGCTCTTCTATCTTTTGAGTTCCTTCTTTTGCTCTGTGTGTGTGTGTGTGTGTGCATGCGCGCGCACACACACATGCGCACGTGCACACTAGAACTGGGGCCTGAACTCAGAGCCCCATGCTCTTGCTTGGCTTTTTTGCTCAGACTGATACTCTACCACTGGAGCCATCCCCCCATTTCTGTCATTTTGCTTGTTAATGGTAGAAGAGGCTCTCAGATTTATCTGCCTGGGCTGGCTTTGAGCCACAATCCTCAGATCTCAGCCTCCTGAGTAGCTAGGATGACAGATGTGGAACCACCAGTGCCTGGCTGCCTTCCTCAGTTCTATAAATATTTTTATGTACCATTTAATTTGACTTGCATTTATTTTATTCTGCACTTCAGAGTTACACTGTCTGCGATTGATTCTGGGGATCAGGCTCTTCTGTGGACTACCCATTGAGACAAAGCTGGGTGGTTAAGCAAAGGAAGGGACCATTCGTTTTCTGAGAGTTGTCTGTGTTGATGAATGTATCTCTTAATGAACAGTCAAGGCGTACGTGATGTTGAACGTGCCGATTCCGTGAGGTTCAGTGTGCTGATTCCACATTTCCCCTCTGGGCTGGGCTGGGCAGTGGGCAGTGCTGGGGCCACCTCTTCTGTTGCTGGCCTGGCCTCTCCCTTGCACTGCCCTCCTGTTTCCTGACTGCCGTGCCCTCTTCTTGCTTTCCAGGTACTTCCCTCCTTGCTGAGTCTGCTGCTCCTGGGGCTCCCCCTTCCTGGTGGGACACCTGGTTCCAGAGACCTCCTGCTCCTCCTCCTCCCCATGTGGGCTTCTGAAGGGAGGGAAGAGCCAGCCGTGTGCACGTAAGCACAGTGGGACCCCAGGCTGGAAGACACCCCTCCATTCTCCTCTGCACCTCTCACAGGTAACTGCGAGTGGGATACCTTTCCTACCACTTCCTAGTGGAGTCTCAGGCCTCTGCTGGGAAAGCCCAGGCCTGCCTGAATGGAACTCTGTCCTTCTTCCCTAGCAGGTCTCCCAAAATGAGGCTGAAAGAATGTCCAGCATGTGATATAGGTTAAGCCATTACTGTATTTCCTCGAGTCCTGTCTGTTGTTCCTAATGGGCATGCAACATCCTGCCTCATGTTGGAGATGGAGAACAGTTTTGCAGGGCAAAGTGCCACATTCAGGATTCATTCATTCATGGAGGACTTGTAGACTGAGCACCACGTGTGTCCCGCACCCTTCACACGAGCCTGCTTGCGTGGAGACCCTGCAAGTGGAGGTGTGAATGGAGGCTGGGGTAAGTGAGGCACCAGAGGCAGACAGGCTGTGTACAAGGCCCAGAGGTGGACACAGTGGGCCAGGCTTTGTGGGTGGGGCAGGTTGTAGTTTTAAATAGGGCAGTTAGGGAGCTCTTGAACAGGTGACACCTGAGTGTGGACACTGCATCCTGGGAAGCTTCTGGGGGAACCAAGAGCAGTGCATCCTGGGAGGCCCCTGGGGGAACCAAGAGCAGTGCATCCTGGGAGGCTCCTGGGGGAAGCCAGAACACTGCATCCTGGGAGACCCCTGGAGGGGCCAAGAGCAGTACATCCTGGGAGGCCCCTGGGGGAGCCAAGAGCAGTGCATCCTGGGAGGCCCCTTGCAGCCAACGCCCCCAGGGGCTGATGGGTCAGGTGAGGTAAGGACCAGTCGGTGCTTGGATCTGAGCCATGTGGGTCATTGTGGCTTTGATGGGGATGGTTTGATGGCCCTAGCAGAGCTGGAACTCTGTCACAGTAAGATGGCTGGCAGCTGTTTGGAGAAGCTTTGTTGCACAAGGAAGCTCAGATTGGGATGATGGTTGGGGTAGAGTGGGGGTGAATTAGTCAGGAGAGTTATTTTTTAGATGAACGCATTCTCGACCTGGCTGTGTATTCTTGGGAGTGACTGGCAGAGTGATGTGTTGAGGCTGCAGGATGGAGGCTCCCTATGGCCCCTTGCCTGGGCGCGGTGTGGATTGTAGGTGCATGAGTCCCTGCCTCAGGAGGGAGCAGGGGCAGAGAGGGACCCGCACTCCTGTGAGGAGCTCTGTGGTCCTCTGGCCTCCTCACTTTTCTTTGTGCAGTAGGAAAGAGTGACCATCTGTGCACACAGTGCTAGAGGGATTTTCAGACTGGAGACTTGAAGGAAAAAGCACACCCCAGTGTGTGGCCACAGATGAGAAGTCCCCAGCCTGGTCCCTTAGACATCTGAGCCTCCAGAATTGGAGGCACAGAGCAGAGAGGACAAAGGGAGAGGCCAGAGCTGAGGGTGTGCAGGAGAGAGGCTGCTCCCCGCCGTGGGGGCAGGCCTGGCAGAGAGGAGAGGACTTCAGGCTCAGTGTTGGGGACCTGGTCAGCACAGTGGAGCTCAGAATGCCAGAGGACGTGAACTGAGGCCATGGACAGCAGGTGCTGAGTGGTGTGTGGAGGGGGAATCTGAGCGCTTGTGGAGATCCAGAGTTTGGCTCCTCTCCCCACCCCCTACACCAGCTCTGCAGTCACCTTGCAGAGGAGTAGAGCCTGTCCTGTCCAGCCCCTGCTGGGGAATGTTCTAGACATGCACTCTGTGGACCCTCATTACCGGTCTAGCCCTTTGGTGATTTGGGAACCCTGGCTCACCTGTTTCTTTGCCAAGTTGCTGCGTTCGGGATCATGGCTACATGAAGGGTGCTGTTTGTTGCTACACTTGCTTCCTATTCCTTGGGAAATAAGTGAATTATAATCTTTTATCTCCTTTTAAACTTAACTTTCATGCCTGTATCTTTGTATGTAATGCACTTAGGGTCCAGAAATTACAGTACACTCTCCCAGGCATGAAGGTGGTGTTAACTTAGGGTCTGGGTTACGGTACACTCTCCCAGGTCTGAGGGTGGTGTTAACTTAGGCTCCTGGGGTTACAGTACACTCTCCCAGGTCTGAGGGTGGGGTTAACTTAGGCTCCTGGGGTTACAGTACACTCTCCCAGGTCTGAGGGTGGTGTTAACTTAGGCTCCTGGGGTTACAGTACACTCTCCCAGGTCTGAGGGTGGGGTTAACTTAGGCTCCTGGGGTTACAGTACACTCTCCCAGGTCTGAGGGTGGGGTTAAGGAGTGGCAGAAAATGAATGAGTGGAGCCTGGCTTCTCTAGGTGTCTGCTGGAGTCTACCTCCCAGTGACTTTCCACCTCCACCAAAGATGTTTGCACTTGCTTAGGACTGAAATGAAATGGTTCCTATGGCTGTAACACACACTAGTCACTCTCCCGTGACTGAAGTAGCTGCATGCACAAGACAGGCTTTTGTGTGTGTTTTCTTTTTCCTGCCTGCCTCCAAGTAATTTAAAAAGGGAAATCTTTGGCTGAGAAATTTTGGCTCAGCCTTGACCATCATTTGACCTTGGGGACAGCTGGACCTTGCAGAAGCACAGCTGCTTGTTCTCTGTTCACTGCAGCTCCCTTTGGAGCTGTTCCGCCAGTGGAACCAATGCCCTTCCAGAATGCCAAGGAGGCAGGCAAACCTTGTCCCCTAATCCACCTCTCTGTGAGTACAGACAGAACTGCTGATGTGGAGAAAGGGGCTTTCTTTACTTTTAGGAAGAGGCATGGTTAGAGATACAGTGACTGAGAGTACGGTCAAGAGAAGTAACAGCAGCCTCATTCTCCACATGTTCTTGGAGATATTTCCCTTTGAGTGATGAGTAGACTGAGGATGTGAACGTCAGCTCTCCAAAACCGAGCACAGTCTAGAGCAACTCCCAAGGCTCCAAGAAGTGGCTGCAGACTGGGAGAAAGAGTCTTCTTCAAACTAAGGCCTTGATCCTGCTAGAAGGGGAAGAGCAGAGATGGAGACCTCAGAGGACAGTGCTCGGGGTTGAGTGTGCGTGAAACCAGAGTCTGTGCCAGCTTCTGGGTGGGAAGCTGCCTGATGTCCACGGGAGACCCAGTCAAGCGTGCGAAGGGTGCTGGTGGTCTTAAAAAGAGCCTGTCTAGGCAGCTGTGTGCTGTTCTGCTTCCTGAATGAGGAGCAGGTGGCAAGGGTTCTGCGCTTAGCACAAACTTACTCTCCCCCAGTTTTAAAAACATGTTTGTTTTTTTTCCCAAAGACTTAAGAACAGTTTCATAGACATGCGCACATGCACACATATGCACACACACATTTACCAAAGAAACAGCATGCAGTCTGCCTTCTTACCTTCATTTTCCATTGTTTCATTAAATATGAATGAGAATACCATTAGTATCTTGCCCTTGTAAATGGTTATAAAAATGGATAATATAATTCAATTACTGCAGTCTCATTTTAATCCTGACTTTATTGATTATAAGAATCTGTAGTGGATTAAAATATTTCTCCTTCTCCAATTACATATACAATATAAATATGAAATATATACGTATGTAATTATATGTATATATACATGTACAATAAAATTTAAAAACATTTAGTTGTAATTAAAAACTAGGTGAACCCTTTTTGTTCTGACCAGGAGGATTTCCTTTACCTCACTGGTCATTTGAGTGATCTACAATGCAAATAATACTGACACAAGAATGGAAACATTTATGCTTCTTTTAAAAGTGTTTGTCTGTCTATTGAGTTAAACAGTCTACCTATGTGAAGCCATGTGCAGCTTCACACAGCCTGAGGAGCTATTTCCCAAATCTGGTGGCTGGAACCACCAGTGTTGACATATTCAATTCTTGAGCAGATCTGTGGTTTCCAAAGGTCTTCTTTGGGGGGAGACTGGCTGATTGCGTTAGGTTTCCAGTTTATCACACTGTGATTTTTGGCTTATATGTAGAAAGAGTTCAGAAGTGTTGAGTTTCATTGTCAGATGGTATGATCCCTTTTCCCAGCAACAGGTGTACATGAGCAAGGTAGTAGAGTTGCTATCTATTCTCTATTAGATGAAACATTTGAATGACATTCATCTTGAATTGGTTCTTATTATACATATAAATAATGCTTATTTATAAGTACACACATTTCAGGAGGAAAAAACTTGAATCTTTCGAATTTTAATTAAGCTTCTAATTTCTTGTGTGTACGGCCTTGGGGTTTGAACTTAGGCACTAAGTGCTGTCCCTGAGCTTCACTTTGCTCAAGGCTGGTACTCTACCATTTGAGCCACAGTTCTATTACTGATTTTTGTTTTTGTTTTTGTTTTGGTAGTTTCACAAGACTTTTCTTCCCCAGCTAGCTCTGAACTGTGATCTTCAGATCTGTCTCCAGAGCAGCTAGGATTACAGGCATAAGCCCTCGGCACCCAGTGATTGATTTACTTTTAAAAGAGGCAATATTATCAGCATTCCAGAACTTCCATCTTTTTCAACTATTTGAAATTCTTACACATTTTTATTTCCCTGCTGGGGAGTAAATCTAGTACTTCACATATGCTAGGCAAGTATCCACTACCAAGCTATATTCTAGCTAAATTCTAGGAATTTTTAAAGGATTAAAATTTCTTTGTTTGTTTTACTTTGTTTCGTGTATTTATTTGTTGGTAGTACTGAGGTTTGAACTCTGGGCCTGGGGCCTGAGAGGCAAGTGCTTTGCTTAAGCAGCTGTACGTCTAGCCCTTCTCCCCAAATTATTTTGACTGCTATTCAAGCCAAAAGAAATGAGATCTTCCTAAGGCCACACACGTGGGGCTCTCTGGGTATATTTTGAGAGATGGATGTTGAGACTCATGGACTGTGCAAGACCTGGGCCTAGCCCTTCCTTCTAGCTTAGGAATGAGTTGTTAGTGAGCACGCAATGTGTTAAAGAATGGGGCAAGCTGGGTGCTGGTGGCTCATGCCTGTCATCCTAGCTACTTAGGAGCCTGAGATCTGAGGATCATGGTTCGAAGCCAGCCCAGGCAGGGAAATCTATGAGACTCTTATCTCCAATAAACTACTCAGAAAAATCTGGAAGTG